TGCGGGAGGCGGATCCGGAGGAGCAGCCGGAGGAGAAGGCGGCGGCGCGTTTCGCGTTTCGCCGCGCGTTTCGATGCGGCGAAGGCGGTTTCCGGGGAGGGAGGGGGGGGATGCACATCGCTAGGTATGGACGAAATCGATTTCGCACCGTTCAGAAACTGAAAGGAATGATGATTTCCTAATGGCAGCTAACAAGGGTTTCCCATGAGGGAGGGGGGGGATGGCGCGCTGGTTTTTTTGAGGTGTTTTTTGTTGGGCTGGACCCCCCCAAAATGGTGGGGTTTTCCAGTGGGTTTTCCACAAAATATGTATGTTTTGCTAGGTTCTGAAAGGGGAATACGGGGAGAGGGTGTTTTTCTCCGTGCAAAATCAACTAAGTTGGGTGAAAGTAGATGGCGAATTCAGTTCCGCCATTCTGGCTTTTCCGCTGGACATGCGGACATGAAGGGAACAGTGCCATCTACTTTCACCCCGACTGAGTGAAAGGTGGGCGGTTTTGCTTTGAATTGCCTTTTGCCCAGTCGGTTTCTCTGGGTTGGGAGTCGGACCAAGCAAGTCCTACATGAAAGAGAATGGGTTTGGTCCGCATGGTCAACCACCGGGTTCTGACCACACTCCGATGGGTTGTTGGGTTGGGAGCTGCAGGTTCATCAATGCGAGCTTGGCTTTAGGGGATGCTATTGCAACTGCGATCGCCCCCAAATACAACTTAGCAAAAGGAGGTATTTCAGCAACAGGTGCTGAACACGGCCCGTGCCAACCATTAGAACGCTGGTCAGGAGTTTCTTCAATGGATTTCGAATGATGACCGGCATCTTTGAAACCTTACTTCTGGAGCGCATTAAATGAATATTACCCACTTTCGGTTCCCTTTCATTTCCTTTCAACCAAATGGTTGGGACGATTCAAAGAATCTTATTTCATCCAGGTTGGCACGCCCCACCCCTCCTCCCCCCCCCAGTGGCTTGGTGTCTTCTGAACATGTAAAGACCCTGTTGGGGTTACATCAACTCCTTAGGGAATTAGACCATCATGTATGTTGAATGAAGCTCACTTTACACCAAGGCTCGCTGTGGCAGGGGTCTTTCCAAAAGGCGAGGGGACGGCAACAAATTGCGCACATGGAATTCTCCATCGCTTTTGGTCCCTCTGACCACCCAAAGAGCTTCACCAAAGTGCCGAGAGTTTTGCTTACTTCCCCGCTGGCCGCACGCCTTTTTTGAAGGCTAGGGCTCAGAGAATTCGCCGACATGACTCAAGCTTTGGCTAAGAGTTTGAATGAGCAATGTCCTCCTAAATGCCTGCTGGACATACATTTCCATGTAAATGATGTCCATCAGAGGGTTTGCACTTCAAATCAATGCCAGGCTTATCAAATTATGGGTATTCCACAATTTGTTTAAACCAGTCTAGCAACCAGTCCCCTTGTTTCCATGCCAGTTTCCTTTCTGCTTGCCGCATGCTCAGTTTCCGATGGATTTTTCTTCGGGCGGTCGCCAAAAGGATGGTCTTTTCTTTCCCAACCCACAGCCCCTCGCATTCTGCCGCCGCTTGGAGAGTGAAGGAAGGGCAGGGATGGCTTTCTTAATCAGGTCACCTTCAATCATTTTCTTGGTTTCCTTCTGCGAGGGGCACAAGGGCAGCTGCGCGCTTTTTTTCTTCTCCCACCTCAAAAAGATCTCCTGACGCCCTCCCCTCCCCTCCCCTCCCCTCCCCTCCCCTCCCCTCCCCCCCTCCCCTCCCCTCCCTCCCCTCCCCTCCCCTCCCCTCCCCTCCCCTCCCCTCCCCTCCCCTCCCCTCCCCTCCCCTCCCCTCCCTCCCCTCCCCTCCCCTCCCCTCCCCTCCCTCCCTCCCCTCCCCTCCCTCCCCTCCCCTCCCCCCCCTCCCCTCCCCCCTTCCCTCCCCTCCCCTCCCCTCCCCTCCCCTCCTCCCCTCCCCTCCCTTCGAACTCCGGGCTCCGAAACCTCCAGAATAAAATTTTGGCCGCGCCCTCCACACCACCCAAATGAGCCAGCAGCGCTTGCTCTCACGAAGGTGGCAGTGCAGCGCTTCACGCTGGTGAGCCGCGGGGCGCCCCCGGCGAAGCGGGGGAAGTTCGAGCACCAGCTGCTGCGGGTGCCGCCCCGGGCCTCTGCGCAGCTGGGGCCGGAGGCGTGGGTCCGGCTTGACACGCGTCGCTGGTTTGGGGGAAGGACGAAGGGTCCCCGACCCGAAGGATGCCAACAGAAATCAAGGAACGGAAGAACATGAGAAGAACGAAAGCAAGAGAAGAAAGGAAGGAAAGGGGAAAGGCGACCGCCGACATGCAGAAGGTGAAAGAGCGCTTAAGCAGAAACCACAACGCGCCAAGCAGGGCAAACGGGAAAAAGGAGGCAGGAAGAGGAACAAGAGCAGCAGCAGCGACTAAGAAGGAATCACTGGACAGATAGGTGGTACAGGTTACCGACAGCTTTGTTCTTTGGTTCATGGCCCCTTTCCCAGTTCTAAACTTTAAGTTCAACCCTCTTGGCCCAGTTATTCGTCCAAGCCTAGGAACCCTTTGCAGCGCAAGCTTTGGGGTCGCAAGGAGTTGGCCAGGAAGGCAAGTGGTCAAGAGCAAGTCGGACGTGGTCAAGAGCACCGACTTGGCTCAAGTAAGGGCACCGGAAAACATGCGCCAACCAGAAAACACGGCTCATGTTGCTCCAACTTGATTGTCTTGCACGACTAGTCAATTTGGCGAGAATGGTTGCATCCTTGGACCCATCTGGAGGTGCACTGAGGGAACCCACCCGGAGAAACCAACCCGCAGCACCTCTGGGCAGAAACGCTGCCAGAAAATCCCAAGGAACTTTCAAACCGGCCCGGAGAAACACCCACCCCTTCGAGGAGCCCTGAGAATGTGAAGGGATTCACCCCTTCCCCAAAGCCCCTCTTTCGGAAACCCGGGGGAAAAAAAAAAACAAGAAGCCCACCGAGCCCTGAGAATCTGAAGCGGACCCGAGCCAAGTCCTAAGGTTTTCAGGACCCCCCACGGTCCAACCCCGCGAGGTGCACATCTGCCGCTGCAGCGACTGCGACAAGCACGGGGTGCGCCGCAGGCTCAGCGGACGGCGGACCTGCCGCCGGGACACGGAGACTTGGGCCGAGAAGGGGGGCCCGTCGAGACAGGGGGGGGGGGGTTTGAAGGGACCTTAAAAGGACCACCGGAAATCATAAGGGGGGGGTACCGAACAAAAATATACATACCCAAATGAGCTTTCACCTTGTTTAGGAAATCGAGGGGGACGGTGTGAGTTATTTTTGACTCTAGGTCTGTTTGGACAATGAGTCAGTTTCTCCACCAAGTAGCAAAAAGTCTGAGCCGTTGTAGCTCAGGAACGGAGTTTTAACCAGCAACAGCTCAAGCTTTTGTGGCTCCAAGACCAAGGAGAGTCACCCCGAGTACGCCCTGCTGCTGAACCTTACCGACCGCTTCGAGGATCCCTTACAAAGGGGGTGGGCTGGGTTTAAAGGAGGGCAAGCCAGCAAACCAAAAACCACTGACCCAGGGGATGTTTATGTTTTTCTTTGTATGTAACAAATGTGGACTTCTTACCCCTTGAATGGGTTGCTTTCCTTTTTTTGGTATTTGTTTCTCTTTTTTTTTGTTCATTTTTTATTTACTTTTTGTTTTTGTTTTTTCTTCTTCTTCGTTTTCTCCGGGTAATTCCTTTGGACGTCATCTTCAACCCGGGGTCGTCTTATCGAAGCCCGAAGGTGGAGCCCGTGCTTCGACGGTTTTCAGGTGAAGTTCCACCAAAAACGGGGCGCCCCTTTCTGGGCGGGCTTTTCGCAAGTGAAAATGTCTCGGAAGTGTTTGCCCTGGACGAAGCTTCGGAGCAGGGATTGCATGTTCTTTCTGGTCGACTCACTTGATCAATCGAGAGATGGTCTGTGAGGCGAAGTACCCGGCAAGTAATGTTATTCATCCTGGGTCAACGTTACCCCACAACACCAACCTTTAGTCATTTCGCCCCGTTCTCTTCTCGCAGGCGGAGTGCGCCCGTGAGGGGGAGGGCCTGGTGCACGAGGTCTGCTGCCGCGAGAAGCGCCTTGGACGCCTCTCATGCATGCCGCGAAGGGCGCCCTCGTCTTTGGGTGCTGGATTAACGGTATGTTTTAGGCTTCCCCTAAAGGACACCAAAAGAGGGTGGGCATTTTTTTGCTCTCCCTGGAAACCAAAAAACGGGTGGGTAATTTCTTTTTATCTCTTCCGAGCCACTATTTTTAGCACCCAGTTGCGATAAACCTTTTAACCAGTTGAACAACGACTGTCATTGTTCTTTGGCTCATTTTCTAATTTTGCTTTTGCACAGACTTTTCTTTCTTGCTTTGGCTTTCGATTTGGAAGTCTTAGTGTTTTGTCTGGCGTCTGGTTTAGCAGGGTTAGGGTTATGTTGGCATTGGTTGGGGTAGGTTTTACAGTTTTTTTATTGTTGTTGTTGGGGGGTGGGGGGTTGGCTTGGCAGTTGTGGGGTTGGGTTTTGCACTTTTGGCTTTGTTGGTCCGTGCTTCTGTGCTACATTTTGCTTTTGTTAGAAGAACGCCTCCAAATGCAGTCCACATTTTTCCTCACGTAGGTAGTGCATGCTTGCTTAGTTCACCTTGTTTCTGGAATCCACGTTTGCCGGAACCGTGGTTGCCCTTTTCCATCAGAGGTTGAGCTGGTAAGAAACAATCAGTTTGCTGCTGCAATACCATTGGCTCAAGCAAAACGGGTGCGAGTGATTGCACTTCGGAGTTGCCATAGGCACGACACTTGATTTGAGCTGGATTTGTTTGGTTATCAGCTGTAGGCTCACGGCCTGCGAATCTTGGAGCGTGAAGGATGGAGCAAGGGCATCCTCTCCAACGAGCCTCCTTTTACCTTGGATAAGTCTTGGGACCGCTTGCGTGGAGCAAAGGTGAACTGGGATCCCCTTGGGCAGTTTGAAGAGCATTGTTGGCGGGAATGGGCTTTTGTGAGGGAAATCCTGATCAGACTGTATGGTTTCGGTCAGGTCTTCAGATGGGTCAGCTCTGAGGGTGGTGCAGTGCGAGTCGCTCCAAGCCGGAGAGAGCCTGGCGAGGCGTGTGCCTGCTTGCGGGCGCAGCGCAGAGGCTGTGGAGCCGACTGTTCACGTGAGCGCGGTCATTCGACTGCCGCTTTCTACAGCTATTTGCAAATTTGCAAGGGCAGCCAGGAGAAACTACGTTCTTGCGGTAAGCAATCACCAAAGCTGTGATCGAGCCCGCGAAGGCTGAACAGGCTGGGATTTTAGAGGCTTTGGTGAAACGAATTTTGACATGGTCAGACAACCGAAGGCCGAGGAAGGGGCTTGCCCCACTTGTGACTTGTTTGTCGTATTGCGTTCGACCAATCAGCTCACATATAGAACCCACTACATGTGCAACAAATAGCTCTTTTCAACCTTTTTTTACAAGTGGCATCATGTTTGAAAAAGGTGGCACCTCCCCTTCCTGACCCTCAAAGTTGCATGCCAAGGCATCTCGAGGAGAAACCCGGCAAGCTCCGCAGGATGAAGAAGTGCCCGTGCTCACTCAGCCCTGCAACGCGCGAGTCCAATTGATGATGACAGCGATGAGTGGATGATGAAATACTGGCATGAGCAAGATTGGCCTGAGCCTCTTGGTTGCGACATGATTGCTAGTTCAGCTAACATCGAAGTAAGAATGTAGGACATTAACAAAATGCATCAAGGGCTGACATGTTTTTCTTGTCCGCCGCTGCTGAGGAGGGACCCTCAGCCTGGGCTTAAGTTGAAGATTGAACTCATGCTTGTTACAGGATTGCAACAGTTGCTGCGCTGAGGCCAATCTGTGCCACGCTCCCTGGTAGCAATTCGGCCAATTACTACATCGAGTGGAAAAAGCCTGTCCTTTGCATTAGCATCTTTATGGGGTGTGTTCCATTTAAGGACGAACAAGACGCCTGAAGCTACCACGCCCGTGATGCCCTATCACAAGCAGCAGTTGAAAGCAGCGCGAAAAGCTGCAGCAGCAAAAAACAAACATGCGCACGCCGAATCTGAGGAGCCAAATGTGGACCGGGGAGATCTTGCGAGCGCTGGAAGCAATGCAAAGCGATCGGGCAAAGGCAACACAAGGTGCAAGTTGCAGGAGATTGCAGCCCTTAAAGGTTGTGCAAGATGAACGTGCGATGCTTGTTGAAGATGGAGTCAAAGGGCTAGCTGGGAAGAGCGGAGAGAACAGTTGGCTTGTTGTCCTTCAGATGACAGTGTAAAGGAAGCTTGAAGCGCGTGCCTTGAGCCTTCAAGCTTTCGCAACAGCATTGCAGCAGCAGTGCAGCAGCGTTGAAGGAGCTGGAGTTATGCTGCCTCTGAGGTTAACCAACTAAGAAGAATCTTGTCGCAGTTGCTGGCCGTGCTGGTAAGTGCTCCCGACTTGTTTTTTTGTGGAGGCTGACTGGAAAAATGAAAAGCGCCACTCAGCGCTGGTGCGTTTTGGTTTGAGGCACCCTTTTCGAGTGACACGAGCAACAGCATGCTGACAGCTATGCAAAGCCTCATGACTTCCAGAATGTTGACTTGCCCCAAGCAACCGAACTGCAGGCGCCAGTGTTTGCGCGCTCCGGTGTTGGTTTGGAGTTTTGTGCTTGGCGTTGACGATGGCCATGTGACCTGGCAAGCGTGTTTCCGCACGACCGTGCCATGATTGACTGACACAGTGGGTTTTTTAGTTCTCGTGTTGCTGGGTTCATCGGTTCATTGTTGCGCTGCAGAAAGACTCCGGAGACGCCTTCACGCAGCCATGCGGGTGCGCCGGCGCAGCCAGCGCGGGCAGCGTTCTTGTAGCCGTCTTGCTGCCTGGCGATTGTGTTTCCAAATTGAATGATCCGAGTTGCAAAGGCTAAGCCTATTCAATGTGGCATCCTCAAGCCCAACTGGCAACGTGCAGCCTCATGAAGCGGAAGACACTCCGAGACCCGTAGGCCAAGCAGATAAGTATCTAAGCTGGAGGCTGCATGAGGTGCGAGTGTGAGAAGAGAGAGAAGAATGCCTCCGAGTGCGCACGTGTTTAACTCACCTTGCCACTGGAATGCACGTTTGCACAAACTGCGGTTGCCACTTTGCCATCAGCGGTTGGGCCAGTAAGAAGCAACCAGTTTGCCGCTGGATTTATCTTTGCGCCAAGCAATTTGCTTTCCAGTTTGGGTCTGTTTGTCTAGCTGGCTTGCAGGGATGAGCAAATGATCAGGTGGCCCGTATTTGGCGGCTTGGATTGGTGGTTTGGGGATTTGAATCCTTGCTTTTATAGACCAGTTTTGTCCAACCCCCAAAAGGTGGACATTTTTTGGTTTGCATTTTTTCAATCAACGTGTTTTTTGTCCTTTGCAGGCTCTTGAAAAGTATGAGCCTAAGATGCTGATTCTTCAATGGGTCCTTTGTGAGATCATGGTTTGTATGAAAATGTTGTTCATTTACTTTCCCTTCAGGCTGACCCCCAAATACGTATCTATCATCCAAGCAAGGCGCACTCATCCAACAAGCCTCTTGTTAGCATTCTCAAGCTTTGGCTGTTTGGTGGCACTTGCTCGCGAAATGCCAAAGGTACTTGTCTTTGGGTTTTTGAGAAACTTCACTTGACCAAACTCTAGCCAGAAATACAAGTACTGGGACAAAGACCTACTGTGGATGTTGGTGTGTACCAGGGAAGAATTGCCGCTTTAGGCGACTGAACGGTGGTGCAGGATGTCATTACTTGAACGGTGGTGCAGGATTTCATTACTCATTGGTATCTACAGGGAAAAACACATTTTCTTGGGGACACTATCTGTTGGTACTTGCCGGGGACACCATTGGTTGGTACTTACCTGGAAAGGAAAACGCATTTTCTTCGGTTCTTCATGGTTGTTGTTGGGAAGCATTTTGCATCTTGCTTCTTGTGGTATAGCGATTTTTTGGTAAACATTTTCCCTTTTGCTTCTTCGGTCATTTCGAGAGACGGATTTCCGTCCATCCGTCAGGAGCGCCTACTTCATCCTGGGCCCCGGGTCCACGACGGTGGGCTACGTCGCCGCGGAGGCGTGGGGCCTTGGCGCGGGCGGTTGTCTCAAACTTTTGGGGGTATGCGCGTTCTTTTTTTTTGTTTGTTTGGGGGGGGAGGGGGTACCATGTTTGTTGGGGCGCTGCTTTGAGGGTTGGCTTGGGGTTGCTCCGAGCTTGTCCCGAAAAAGGAAGGCAGGAATGGAAGGGGAAAGTTTCATGAAGCAGCCACTCCCTGGTGGATTGTGAATTGGGGATGCAACCCATGGATCACTTGATTGGGGCCGGGCATTTAAGCTCAAACACCAATTGGGTGTGTCAGGTTTTAGGGGATCCCCGCAAAATAGGTGGTGTCCTTTTGGTTTCCCATCAAAACCAAGCCAACCAACAGGTGGTTCCCAAGAAAACAAACCCAAATGGGTGATCCAGAAGCTCCGGCTTTGTTTCTGGTGTCTGAGGATGAGCGGAATTGTCACGATTCCGGCTGATTTTCGTTCTCCAATTTTTATTGCTGAAGGGAAACTGAACCCCACGAGAGCCGCATGATCCCAAGCGGTTTATCCCCACACACGGGTCAATAGGCCCCTAGGTCCAGAAAAGCAAAGCTCACATGCGGGTGATCCAAAAGTTAGCCTTTTTTTAGTAGGGCCTGGGGATATTTTGATGATTTTATGCCACGTTCCCTTCAGTACGACCAGTCTTCCTTCCTTGGCGTGCGTTTTGGCATGTGCTTTTTTGCCCGGTGTTCTTCCTGGCGGATCCTAATTTCTACACCCGTTCGTGGGAAGACGAGCTTTCACCTCCAGCAGCTCAACCCCTGTGGAAAGCGGGCCGCGGGTGAGTTGGGTCGCTCCCTTGAGGTATGAATGAAACCTTTTGTGTAGATCGTTTTCTTGAAATTTGGCTTACTCTTCGCCCGGCTTAGGCAAGCGGCCCTGCAAAGGGGGTTCCTTCATTTTGGCCGGGCTATTTCGAAGGCGGAGTTTCTTGATCCTTCCCTCGCGTGGACCCCTGAGTATCCTCCCCCTATCAATCCGGGATCCGTCTTTCTGAAGGCTTTTGCCGTTTCACCCTGGGATGACCTTCCCCACAAAACATAAAGAAGAACCCCTCTTCTGGTTGGGATGATTCCTGATAAGGCCAACTTGTTTTTGGTTGTCGTTTGGGGGGATTTTTCAGCGGGTGTAATCCCAGGGTGTGAAACAAGCATCCTATTCGTTCTTCAGGTTCCTCCACATATGGCTCCTAATCCTAATGGGGATCACCCTCCAAAATGATTGCTGGACATCAGTGTCCATAGAAACGATGTTCACCAAAGGAAATGACATTGCACCCTTGCAATGGACCCTAGCTGTCAATGACAGTCGCACAAAAAACAGAGCTTCAGTCCATCTTTCATACCTGGGAACCGTAAGTCCCGAGAATTTTTGGCTGCGCTGAGGGCCCGTGGCACATTCTCCAGACATTGCGACGTACCGTCGGCAGGAAGCTTTTGATTGGGTCCCATGTCCGAAAGCCCATTCTTTTGGGATCTCCAGCAAGGTGGCCGCGAACCGGAAGGTCGCGCGGAGGGTGCAAGACCCTTCTGGCCACGATGACGACGATAAGGCGCCCAAGAGATGGGCAAGTTTGGGCGTTCATTTTGTGCTTTTCCGCGCTTTCTGTGGTTTGTCCCGCCTTTTTTCTCCCTGTTGTGCTTGTCTTCTGCTTGTTTTTTGATTTCTTCTGTTTTCCTTGTCTTGAACTTGGTTTTCTCAAAGGGTTGTCTTCAGTTGTTCTTGGTTCCCCCTCCTTTTGTCTTCAATCCTCCTTGCGTGGTTTCCCTTTTTCCTCTTCGTTCTGCATTCATGCTTGCTTTTCTTCACGATGGGTGTGTCTTAAAATAGGGGGACCTCCCAAGTTTATGGGGTTCCTTCTTTGAGCCAACCCCGAAACAGGGTTTCAACTCAAAGAAAGGACAGCCTCTCCTTTTTGCCCCGCAGGTTCCCGTGGTGACGCAGATCTATGTCGAGCCGGAGTTCCGGAACCAGACCTACGCGAGCCTCAGCGTCGAGTTGGTCCCCTACCTTTGTGCCAAAAGAGAAAGCTAAAAAAGTTGGCGCCCTCCCGCCAAACATGGAAGTGCAAAGGCCCTTTCCAAGAGGAAAGTCGTCTTTCTGCAGTCTGTGCACTTCCATGTTAGCTGGTGGGAGGGTACCAACTCTTTTTGCACCGCAACTCAGATCATAAGTTCGCAGGAGTGTAGATGGACGAAAGGCGTGAACGACTTAAGAAGGCGTGGGTCTGATCATTCCCCTGCAAATACCAACAAATCGTGGTTTCAACCGTGGCTTCTTGGGTGATGCAGGATTTCGTCCACGGCGTGATTTACGATGTATTTGCTGGTCTATTTCCAAAGCCTAACAGAAATGGATTCCATTTCTCGGTTTGCATGGTTTGCTTCTGGCTTTGCGGAAAAGCCGTAGACTCATTCGGGGAATTAGAAGGTACAAAGACGAAGAACAGGAAACAAACAAAAACGCATGGCCGTGGCGCAAAACGTGGAATCCCCAAAATGGGACCCTGGTAGAACGTTCCTGGAAAAGATAGAAACCTGTTTTGGGAAAGTGAGGGGCGTCCAAAGAAGGAGTTCCGCAGAAAAAGAGAAACCCTCTCCGCACGAAGGAATGCAGAAACGACGTGGGCTCCAAATAGGAAAGTAGCATTCGAGAAGTCCAAAACCCTTTCAGGATTCAATTTTTAGCATGGAGCTTAGTACCGGCAGTACCAAAACTAGTACTGGCAATACTAGATTTAGTGCTAACATCATCATAGTACTGGCAATGCTAAGTTAAGCACTGGAACTCTGAGATTCAGTATTGGCAATGCTAGATTTAGTACTGTCAATACTAAGTTAAGCACTGGAAGACTAGGATGAAGAGTGGCTTGTTTGCAAAGTTGACTAGCCCACTGGCACACATCCCAGCGAAGATCAACACTTTCCAGGCGTGACAAGTTTCTCGCTTCGTTTCATCTTTTGCGGGCCACCTGGACTTCCGCTTGTCGCCGACTGATCCGGGCCAGAGGTGGATTCGGGAGGGCCACTCCTGGATCCGGCCGTCTTCTGCACGGCTTCTCAATTTGGGGGATTCCCCATTGGCTTCCTGTATTTTTTTCGCGGTTGCTGCCTCGACTGATGAAGCTTGTGCCTGTCTTTCTCTCGCGCCCAAAGTTTCTATCGTTCCCGGGGCAGAGGTTGACCTTCCGGGCTTTGGAGCCGGGCGCAAAGCGTTCTCTGATGTTCGCTTTGACTGGGAGTCTCGAGCTCTCTTTCGACACCGGTCCTTCAGTGGGCTGGCGTGCAGTGCTCCGGGTCCAGGAGCCCGCCGAGGTGCTCGGTGTCTCGCCTCACCCGGCTCATCGCGACGCCGCCGGCCTTGAAACGTCTCGTCACGTGACTGAGCTCTGCGCCTTGGAGCTTGTGGATGTTGCTGGCGTATCCCGGCCGGGCCGGGTAGCATCTCACGCGAGCGCGGCGGTCGTCCGCAACGTCCTCTGCTTTTCCAGGGTTTCGAAGCTGGCTTTCACGCCCGAGCAAGGATGATAGGTACCCAAACAGGACATCAGGGCCACTCCGGTTGCCAGGGGCTTTCGCAACGATATAAACTGTTGATTCTTCCCTGGCACTAACAAAGCTTAACGAAACACTGACCAAAACTGTTTTTTTTTGCTTCAGGACAGCCTAGGGCAAACGGTTGCACCTACGAATAGAGCCATGTGGCAAACATGAACTCTTCTGGCTTCGCATTCCGCGCGACCTTGGCAACATAAGTCAAAGCGAAGCAGGAACGTAACATGAGCCATTGGGCCATTAGGGCCATGGCTTCGAGACGGGGAATCCGCCAACGCTTGCTGGACATAAGAGCCCCAGCGCTTCGTGGCGGAAGGACACATCATACAACGCCCTCATGCGGGGTTCGTGAGTGGCGGTCCCCAAACGCTGGAATGCCAAGGTGGGATCGGAGCACGTTTGGAAACTTGTCCGGGTGCAACGTCAAAGCCTTCTCTTGAAAGCCTCTTCATGCTGGGGCTGTCCTGCAAGAAGGTGCTCGCTACGTTGGCGAGATGTTGGCCGTGGCCACAACGAGCGCTGTGTTTTTCAGGCCCTCCGGAAAGATAGAAACCTTCGCTACGGCTCAGTCACATGGTTTGCCTGCGAGTGCTAAATCTAGAATTGCCAGTGGTCAGTTTAATTTTGGCAGCACCATATTTAGTATTGCCAGCACAGTGCTTTATTTAGCACTCCAGTACATACTCCGCCGTTGGGCCATGCCGTGTTGCAAACGTTTCTATCTCTCTGCAAAGCCTGAAAACACAGGGTTTGCACAAAGACAGAAACTGTTGATTTCGTCCCATGATGCACTACTCTGACACTCCTTGAGGGAAAGGGATGTCACTTTAATGCAAAACTGCAGGGTTTCAGGATGATAGAAACTCTCGGACCAGCCCAAAGATGGACACCTCTAGTACTACGTTCCTTTGTGGGAACATTCTTGTTTTGGGAGTGCGTGTCACACTTTTGCAGCACAGAAAGTTCCAATCTTTGCGCGGAACACCCTTCCTGCGCCGACGTGTCTATCTGATCCGGGAACGCTGCAAACGGAAACAAAGAAGTTTAAGCCCCACATGTGTTCAATGTTTTCACTTGTTGCAATGCCGCACACACTTCTGCAGAAAGAACGCACCAATGTGTACAAGAGACAGTCACAACTCCCTTGGGATTTCCTAAGGACCCAGGCACTGCAGTTACTACTCCGGGAGCATTCGGAGGTTCGTGTGGACGCGCCTTCGGCGGTTTTGGTATTGAGCCCGTTGGGCGATGTTTGGGCCCGGCAGCTTCCGTCTTGCGTGTCTCTTGTTGAGTTGGTACCTTTGTGGGGTTCCTGAAATAAGGGAAGCTAAAGGGAACCCCGTGTCGAATTATTTGGGGTTCCCCTATTGAAAAACCACTTCAAGGGTGGTAAGAGGCTGACCCCGATGTGGCACGGATCGATACCAAGGTAGCCTCAAAGGTCCAGACAAACAAAGCTCACACCGCGCGGGTCCAACAGCTAGCTTTGGTTGGCGTAGGGCTCGCGGACATATGTCTGAGTTCATCCCAGGTTTCCTTCAGTAAGACAATTTTCCCTTCCGTGTTTGGCATGTGTTCTTCATGCAGTGTGGAGTGTCACACGAGGGGATGGGCAACATGGCGTGTGGAAAGTTCAGACATTTCTTGGCCAATCTGCTCGGGTTTTTCTGCTTCAAGGAGCTGACGGCGTGTGTGTTTTTCGAGGCTCGGTACTGTTTCGGAAAACCGAAAGGACCACTGATTTTGTCGTTTGCGGTCCGAATCCCTATTTGACACACGCACACACACACACACACACCCAAAGGTCAGCAAATGCCTTCTAACCTTCCTGGTTTCTTTGGAGGGTTTCTGGTCAAGCTTTGTGGGGCTTGTTTGACCGGGCGATGGGGGCTCGAGTCACAAACTGCGCATTTGCACGTTTGCTCTTCCAGGGTGCGTTGAACTGCAAGCGATCAACCTTTTCATTTGATCCGTCCGATCTTGGTCTATTTGTCAAGGTTCATTGGATGAGTCAACTGGTTGAATAGGGGGGTGTCCCATCGAGGGAGTCCTTTACCTTTGAAGCACTCCCTTGTGGGCTGAGGCTGGGATGTGTTGGGCTTAGGTACTTCCCCCCCAAGCAAGAAGCGAAAAGAAACGGAGCCTGGCGCGGGGATGAATGTTGGGACTTTACGTGTGGTGAAGGTTCGTACGGTTCCCTTGCACGAGGGGGGCATGGTTCTGGCAAGGTGCCACTTTGTCTGCTACCAGGCCTCTTTGAAGTCAATCAGGTCATTGAATGGACATCAAACTGACCACCATCTTCCGGGCATCTACAGAGTCGTGTGTTTTCCCCCAAGCCTCGAGTTGCGCCGAAGGGGCCCGAATCTGGACGCCGAATGAGTTCTGGTCGCCGATTTCTGCTGCGAGGCCCCCTCCGACGCAGTGTGCCACATCTTGGAGCGCTTGGGCTTCTGCCGGGCGGGCTGCAAGGAGGCGGGTCGGGGGAGGTCAACGCCAGAGGGGAGTTTTTTTTTTTGGGGGGGGACACCGAAGAGGTGGATTCTCCTTCTTCACCAAATAGCAACGCCAGAATTTGGAAGCTTGGAATTCTGTTGGGGAGTTTTGGCTTTTGGTTCCAATGATTCCGCAGCAAGGAACGGCCCGAATGCTTTGCAAACAAGACATGCGGTGCATGGCCGAAATCCTGCACCACCGAAGAAACCCTAAAATGATGATCACCTGCAAATACCCAGAAGCATCTCCGTAGCCGTGTTCCGAGTTCCAATTTGCACCATCGCTGGCTTCCCGCCTCTCAAAGAGTTCATTTGCCGTCTGTTTTACATCCCCTGTTGGAGTATAATTTTGTCCAGTAAAGTTAGGCCTGGGAAGGTAGAAAGAGATTTAGACAGCTTTCTGCAGGGACTGCCAAGGAGGTGGTTTTGGCGGGTACTTGGACTTCGTCATGCCATCCTTGCTTCTGTACAAGCAGAGCTGCAAGCAAACCGGGGTGAAAGCTGTCAAGAGCCCGACGAATCCATTGAAAACGAATGAATTCCCACTGACTCTTCTGGAGCATTTTATCGATCGGAAGCAGGCATTGACTTGAGGTTCCCAAATTCCCAGCAGTCTATGATTTGAGCTTCGGGCCAAAGGTGACGAACCGTGCATTCCCCACAAGAAACGTGTATAGCAAATTTGATCATGGCGCATGCGGAAGTCGGGGTTTTCGCAGCCTTTCCTTCAGGGGCCGGAGGGGAGACCCATCGTCTCCTTTGCCCACAAGGGCATCGATGTGTGCTGAGGGTTTCGCGTGCAAATGCGCGTCAGATCGTAGGGAATGCGGAAGAGATGCATGTGACCTCCACTCTTGTTCTTACCTATATTTTGTAGGTTTGACATTTGTTGGCCAGCCTGCTTGTGGTTAGGAGGAGCCAACAAGGCGAGAGCTATTTGCTGACCTGCAAACAGGGGTGGAGGGAATTGGTGACATTTCACCTTCATGGCTGCGTGGAACGTGTCCAGAGTGCAGACTGTAGGGCTTTGCGGCTAGATGCACGATAGCATATGAATGTGTGGATAAAGATAATCCCAGTCACCTTTTGTGAGCCGCAAAGCATTCGCAACGCGAAGATTCCATTGGCTCTACTTGCTCAAGCCAGTCGACGACCGTTCATCGACTCGCGTGAGCTTGAGATGCCTTAGGGTGGATGCGCGCTTTCTTTTACGACTAGTCTTTGTCTTGAGGGGTGAGCTTTTGCTTTGCATTTCGTAGTTGTTCAGCTTCCACAAGCAACCCATGTGAGCTCAGGATCCGCAAAATGGCCCGACCTAAGCCAGCTCAGGGTTTGATACTTCTTGTCTTGAAGGCTTCAACGGATCCTCATGAGCTTGCCAATGCTCCCCATTGCCCAGAGTTCAGACCCCGCGCCGGTGAAAACAGGCACTGGGTCTCTGCTTGGGGTGTCGAGAGAGATCGACATGGAACCCAACAAATCCATCATTCGCAGGACACTTCTTCAGGTCCTTCGGGGTACACCTTTTGGGTTACATGTTAATCTGCAGGCAGTACCCCACCAACACGGAAGAAGCACACGCCGCTTTGAGACGAAACTCTCTCCTCTTGGAAAGGGAGGGCTTCCTGGTTTGTTGGGAGGATATGTTGAACAGGGCTGTGGAGGGGTACCTGTCAGCCACATGATCCTTTACCGAAACCCGATCTTTTGAACTTTTTCTCTTTCCGGAAAATCTTGGTCTCTCTCTCTCTTGTACCCTCGCACCAACTAACATGGAAGTGCACAAAGCCCCTCTCTATGCACCAGCCCATGTTAGGTTTTTTCTTAATATATTCATGGTGTTTTAGATGCAATCTATGGTGTCTTGTGGTGTCTTTCTGGTGTTGTCTTGAATAATCATCATGTTCGTTGGTGGTAGGCAATCTCGCTTTTGGTTTTCTGATACTTCCAACCAGGTTGGCCTCCCACGCAACCTGAGGGAGGCTTCCCAGAACCGTTCGAGCCGGTCCGATTTGGCCTCGCCGGCGAAGTTTTCGGTAGGTCGAGGGGTCCTTGGGCGCGGAGAAGAGGTGGCTGTGGCGCAATACCATGTGCTAAAATGGCATCTTGGTAAATGGAACCAAGGACCAAAACCTGCGGTTTGCCCTAGGTCTGAAAAAATTGGAGCCACACTCAGGTATTCAGGGCTGCAAAGGGCATAGGTCTTAAGACAGGAAAGGGCCGGTAAAGAATGGTATGTAACTATGAGGGAAAAGGTGGACCAGAGGAAGTGACCGCGCAGTTGCCAGTTGGAGGTGTGAGGTGTGCAGCTCAGTTCGATGTGAGGCGACGTCTCACTTTCCAGATTCGACCGCGTTTCAGAGGTCCTTGCGGCCATTTCAAGGAACATTGAGCTTTAAGAAGCCGCAAGCAGAGGAACCCGTTTGAGGCGCACACCGGCTCTTCCCATGTTTTCCTCGAAAAACAGAAAGTTAGCCCCCACGACCCCTTTTGGCCGTTTTAGTAGGTCGCTCTACTACCTGGGGTCATAGCAAAGCCCGCATTCTTTGCAATCATCTTTTGTAAACAACCCAAATACTTCGAGTTAACAATCTTCAATCATTCAGTACAACGTCACATTTTCTGCACATTGAATCCCATGGTTTCCCTCCCTCCCGCGCTTCCTCGGAAACGCGTTTCCCAGAGCGAGCGCCCGGAAGCGCTCAGAGCGAGCGCTAGACGCCTCTTTGCAGCCATGGCGCAGGCGCGAAAGGGGGCCGGATGGGCATGCTCAGGCTGGCTGGCTGGCTGGCTGACACTTTTTTTTTTGGTCTTTTCGGGAGCAAATGAGCAGGACCTGATCATGTTACCAGAAATCAACAAGCATCTTTGTTCTCACGGAGGCGACCGACTTGGCTTCGTCGGTCATTGTCCAATAATCCCGTTCCTGTTTGAATTATATCTCCAACTAGGCTCTAGTGATGCCGATTTGGATGCGGAAAAGCTCAAGGATACACGACTTTGATTTGGACATTCCTCGCATATTCCGGGAGCTTCATGCAACTATCCCGGCGGAGCTCAGTTCTCGGCCATGGAGCGGAAACCAATTCTCGGCCTTGCCGTGGTCCACGAGTATTTCTCGGGTTTCGCTTCTCCCACGTGCAGGATTTGTCCATCCGCACCGAAGCAAGCAATTCCCGCAATGCTGTGGGGCTTGGCTTCCTGTTGGTTTCAAAGCGGCCGCAAAACGGGAACTCCTTGCTTTCGGAATGGTTGGTTTCCTTACTTCGGTCTTCCCCCTAACTAGATATCGGGCTTAATATTCTTGCTAGTGCCCAGCAGGAAATAGGGAATGAACCTGGGACACCAGTTGCATGTTTTTTTCTTGGTCATTCCATTTCTCATTCCCTGCCTATCGCACCGATCGCAAGTACACCCTTACCTTGGGGTACGCAAGGAACTGGTCCTCTTTGCGGTGGAACCTTGCTGGGAGGATGCAAAACCGCGGCTCGGCCAATCGAACCCATGTCCTTTTGCATTTGAAAATCGGGGCTCGGCCCATCGCTGAGCCGTTGCCCCGTTTTGAACGTCGTCGCCAATTTGATCGAAAGTCCAGCCCTGCCAGGTGCCCGGAAAGCTGCAGGCCGGGTGCGCGGAAAGGAAGCTGCCGCGTGTCTCCTGGGTGGATCCTTCCGTCCGCTGGGATCGGAGCCTGCTGGCTTTGAAGAAGGGAGCCTTCGGAAGTTGATTTGGGGTCTGAAGGTGTTCCTAGGGCCCATGAGAGGTCTTTGTTTTTTTGCGGTCTTTGGCCTCCTGCTTGAAGGAGCCTGGCGGAAACCGTGGCACCTGAAAACCAGACGTGTGTTTCTTTAAAGGGAGATTTGGGCGTAAAAACAATGAGCAATTGCTGCTTCATGAAGGTCCTTTGCTTGGTTTCGGAATAGACGCTTGCCTCATGAGGGGGGTCCCCCTTTTTTTTTGCAGTTGGGGAAGAGTAAGTAAAAGCAACGAAGCTGAGCTGATACAGGGAATGATACTTGGGTTTTTGGTTTTGACCCCCAGTAGAATTGTTTGAGGTTTAGTCAACATTGCTACGCTGTACTCGTCACTTTGAACATCTCGTGACAGGCCATTTGTATCTGGGTGAATTATAACGACCTCACACGACCTCACCCCAAATGGTGGTTTATGTGGGGAATAGCCCCCCAACCACCTTAAGTTTCAGGTTGGTGAAACATTATAGTCCACCCAGTTGTAAGTTATTGCAACTTGCGTCCTTCATTTCGTGGGGCAGAGGACCTTCCCGGACCATCTTAGGAAGACTTCCGGGGGGTGGGATCTGTTGAGCCCAGCGTGGGTGAATCGCCCGCCAGGTGCCTGGTGGGGCACTTGGAGCTGGGGGGGGGATCTGTTGGAAGGTGCAAAGCCGAGGTGCTGGCTGACACCCCGAAAACACTTCCTTGGGTTGAGTCTAAGCCCAAGAGATGCTGGTTTTGCCATTCAACTCAGCTCAGTTTGGCGAGTGTCTCATTTTCCGTGTGAACTCCATACCTGTGAAATAAGCCCACCTTGGATTAAGACCTTGGGTTGAAAGATACGCCAAAGGAAGAAGAACCGATATTTAGAAGTGCCGTTTGTTTGGGCATACCTATAAAAGGGTGTGTCTCATGGTTCCCTTCGAAATGCGGTACCGATGTTCCTTTACAACAGATGGGTGTCTTTCCCATCACGACGTGTGCGTGACACCCATTTGGGATCACCCAAACACCTGTCAAGAAGACAAACCAAAGGGCCAAACGAGTCACAATCAAAACCCGGGTAAGTGAAGGTTGGTAAGGGACAATCCCAACCGTAAATAATAGCTGCGGCCGCCTTCTTAATTCTTGAAGCATGGTTCTGGGTCGACCATTTTGATACCGGGTTTTGGCTATGACTCAAATGAAACCGGCGAAGGCTCTCGCAGTTTCGGTCGAGCCCTTGGCCTGGCTTCGGGTCGGATAGATGCAACAAATATATGCAACGCCCAGCTGTTCTCGGAAGTTCTTTGCTAAATTTCGGAAGGTTTTCTCACTTTGGTTCATTTTGCTTGGATGTTAGGACTTTAGCTTGTTGCCAACGAATGGGTTTTCCATTAAACCACTAAGAGGAGCAGAAAACAACCGCGCTCAGGAGTTCTGACGGCCCCAAAGGGTTCAGGAGCTTGCATCCAGACTCATGCGTGCACCCATTGAAGCCCAGGTTAGAACCCATTCAATTGGGTCAATTGTTTTCCCTCGCAGCCATGTCCTTTGTAGACTGCCTTGTTGCGTCTGCAACTCGTTCTTTTGTACATGAATGGTTTCAAAAGGAGAACAGGAGGTGCCGCCGAGAATGCAATTGAGGGGTCAGAGTGCACGACCAGTTCTGTGATGCCCAACAAATCCGCTTTGACCAGCACAGTATAAGCCATAGATCCAGGCCTCAGCAAGGCCTCAAGGGGTGAATAAGGGAGTTACGCAACTACTCGGCCATTTTTTCCGGGCTTCAAGTATCCCCTGATCGGTGGTTTGGATTGGTGGATTGGATTCGGAGTTGAACCCTCGGTTCTTGCAGATGGTAAATGGGGTTTACCCCTCCAATTCACCACCAAACCACCGATTGGAGGGAAACTTTGAGAAATGGCATGCGTTTTTGACGGCTGAACAGAGCTCCTTCCCAACTTCCTCCAAGTTTCTGGGTGCTTTTTGGGGACCATTTGAGGAGAGCGTGCTCCAACAAAACACCTAATAGAAACCACGAACTCGAATGCAGACACGAAAGCGGACTCTTGTCACATCTCGCGTCGCGACTCTAGTCAAGTTTCTATAGTCACGTCTCTGGTCACGTCTCTAGTCACGCCTTTGGTCACGT